AATGAGAGTCAGTAGGTTTGTAATGGACACTAGTGCTAAGACGGTCGTCATTAACACTAAGCAAGATGTCAAGGAAAATGTAAGGCAGGGTGAAAAGAGTTAACAAAAGAGATGAAAGAATCTAAGTCATTACGMGAACARGAAGTARCACCAATACAATCATCAATATACCGTCCAAAAAACTCAGGTTTAGGTCCAGYATATTGTTGAAAAACAAGGTTTTCGATATRACCAACAAACAAATTGGCATAACTAGGGCCCATCTTAGTACCCATAGCAACACCGTTTACCTGCCGATAATAACGATCATCGAAAGAAAAACAATTAAGAGTAAGAACAAGTTCAGCTAAGCGTAACAAAGTGGGAGTGCTGGGCTCGAGGACAGGACGAAGATCGAAAAAATGCTGAAGAGCACGAAGGCCCTCATCATTAGGAATGACAGTATACAAAGATTTGACATCCATAGTAAACAAAAGCTTAGAAGAGTTATCAGGAAAGCGAAAATCATTAAAAATACTAAGAGCGTGATTAGTATCCTTAATATAAGTGGGTAAAGACTGAACAATAGGCAGCATGAGAGAATCTAGATAGCTAGAGATGAGTTCGGTAGGACAACTACAAGCAGAAACAATAGGACGAGCAGGGTTGTTAGCTTTGTGAATCTTAGGAAGAAAATAGACGTGAGAAGTACGAGGAGTAATAACAAAGAGGTTTTTAGCGGTGGAAGGTAAAGAGCYATCAGAAATGAAAGAGTTAACAGTGTCTTTAACTAATTTCGGACTAGCGTCCGAAACGTCAGTAAGTTTTTTCATCTTTTCACGGTGTATAATTTACCTTTTCATCATTACTATATAATTAATAGGTAATAGGATTTCATGCTCCCCAATCAAGAAATAATCAGACTTGGAAAAATTCCTCTGACTGCCAAATTGGACTCGGCCTACGGCCTCATCCAATTTTGGAAGTCCTCGGAATTTTCCTTGTCCAATTATTTCTTAATTGGACAGCATGGAGTCCTATTACATATACTTATTATTATTATTATTATTATTATTATTATTATTAT